GCAACATTACCTATGTGAAACCATCCAAAGTCTTCTACAGCTTCTCTGAATATATCTCAAGATGTGTCTTTTCATTCCCAGATCTGTGAATCAGGGTGAGAACACCGGCATAGACAGTGTCTGCTGCTACCGTAAAAATGCCACAGCTCCACCTTTTGATCGAGTGCAGATATATCATAAATTTGTAAATGAGACCAACGGTTTCACCAAGATGGGGAGGTACAGCTTGGACCCAAACAGCCTTTTTGTTAATGGTAAGAAGAAGATGGATTTCTTGACTAAAGAGGTTATGAGGTTGGCTGGAACTGAATCGGTACTCATGTTATGTAACTTAACAGATAGTTCCTCTCTGCAACACCTTGGAGAGATGCCAGAGAGCTACTAGAGTTTCTTTGGCTCTACCAAATTCAGGCTACAAAAATCTAGATTAATTCAAAAAGGCAGCAGTATTTATTAACATGGTCATTTGGAATTTTGCAGTTCAGACATGCTAGCTCTGTTCTTCTGGATGATTTTTTTCTGAAACTGTCCCAGTACTTCTTACAAATAATCATTGGATTAAGTGGACACTTTATGTAGACTTAGTCACAGTGGCCTATTTAAACTAAAGATTGATGCCATTTGGGCATCTTAGGGATGATTTGAAACACTACCATCTGAGATTTGTTGACATGGAATAATTGGAAGTGTGTAGGAGGAATTTATCATATCTTACTTTTTTCATGGTGGACAGTTTGATGGAGACTTCCTATTTTAGTGTACTCTTGTGCCTTCTTTGGTGACTCTCTTTCCATTCCTGAAACTCTCTTTCTGTTTCAGATTATCATGAAGCATCACCTCAGACCAGTAAGTACACTTTTCAGAAGTTTCTTCAGCCATTGACTCTAACTGTGGTACACAATCTAAAATGTCCAACCTTGTCCCAAATATTCCAATTGCAAAAAAAGTATAGCACTATGCCCTAGGCTTCTGCCACGAGAGATGGGTGGAAACCACAGGGATGTAGGAGCAGGTTGAATATTAGATTTTCCAGATACTAAAAGGTGTTAACCAGTGCACCATGTCAATCCCCAAAGTGGTCTGTTCAGTTAACATCTTAAAACAGAGAGTGGATACTGATTTCTGATATTCCAACTCTGATTATGACCATTAGAAATTGTTCTACAACACTGAACAAGAAACTGCTTTGTGACTTTATATCCCTTCTTGGGACTTTACAGGCCATGTCCTTCTGCAAAGTAACCCTTTACATTCTTGGGAAGCGCTATCACAGTCCTGAGCAGTCTCCTGTTCTCAAGGCTTAAACCATCAATCTTTCTTTTGCACAACTTGCTTCTCTGCCCCTGCTTGTGCTTCTTGACCTTTTCTAGATCCGCAGTAGATCAAGAATAACAGTTACTTTCAAACTGTGAAAAGCATACACTCGTTCTTTTTTTTTTTAAACAAGTTTTATTTTCAAGACAAACAATACATAGATACACATAAAACAAAACATAAAAGCATAGAAAATCTCTTATCTGAAAGTTGCTTAATCCCGGGTTAAAACTCTTGGTACAGACACAAATTCAAATTCATATTCATTTTACATACCATTTCATATCTTATTAACATTTTCAGTTTTCTATATGTCTTCTCCTCTCCTTTAAATTTTCTCAATTTTATTTTATTTTATTTATCTCCTCTCAATTCATATCATAATATTTATTATTCTTTGTCTGTTCTATTCCAGCCAGTCTTTTATTTTCCTTCTTTAAAAAAAAAGAAAAAACTTCTCCTATACACTATATGGAGTATGATGCCTTTATCTCTTTCCCCTACATTTATAATACTTAATATAAAACACATGACATATATTGGGATTCTGTCTGGTACATTCTAAAATTATACTATATTATCAAAAATAATACAAATCTATTCATTAGTATTAATATTCATTCATATCTTAAACATTTAACTCATTACTTTTCAATTAAATCACATACTTTTATGGGAGCCCTATTTTCCATAGTTATATATCCCTCATCATATATTATAGCTCATTATTTCATTAAAAAGTACCTCCTTCTTCTACTTCAATTCTCATTTCACAAGAAATTTCGCTAGTATACCATATTCTAATATTAACAATCATTTATATCTTAAACATTTTATCCATTTCAATTAAATATCATGCCTTTGGGGGAACACTTATGCTTTTCAAAGATTATTACCCCCCCCCCCACATCACAATCTTGAATCATGTTTCGTTACAGTACTCCCTTTTCTTAACCAAAAATTTCACTAATTTATGTTAAATATTTTATCACATTTTAGGTTACATATTGTTTCTAATTTTCTATGTTTACTTCTAAATACAAGTATAAAAATGCAGTCTTATGTACCTTTCTAGAATCCCTTTAACCATAAAGCTTATCCATTATCTCTAAAAAAAATTTGCTTCTTAACATCTTGCTCCCCGCCATTAGGACTTCTCATCCCTTCCTTTCTTTCTTGTTTCTTCTTCTCCTTGTCCTCTTTAACCCCTTGTCTCTCCACCTCCCTTTTATTCTGCTTTCCCCCTTTCTGTTGTTTCTTAACATAATGTCCCCCTTTCACCTTATTCTTCTCTTTTTGGGCTATTTTTCCAGATCTTAAAAACCTTTTTCCCTTTTTCTCTTGCTTTTTCTCTTCTCCAGTCAAAGTCATTTGTTCATCAAAGATGGCTTCTCCTTCTTCTTTGTCCCCATCATCCTCATTCTGCTTCACATAAGTATAAACCGCCATTTCTAAGTATTGAAAAATAGTGTCAAGACCATCTTCCCCTCCTTGTTTTTCTCTTTCAAATTTTTGATATATAAGTTCCAATTCATCCATAGATGATGCCATTGTGTAGAGAAAAAGTTTTTCCAAACAACCACCCAGATGATTTAATCAGAAGTAATTTCCAAAGGTTCCAAAGTCACCAAACAATCCAAACAGACTATTTCTTTTAGATACCTTCTTCTTCTTCACTTTCTCTTTCTGGGGTTAAAGTAATCACAAATCCTTTTCAAATATATTTTTTGGAAGTTTTTAAACTCTTTGTAATTCTAGGCAATCTTCTCCTTATTTTCAAATTTTGCTCTAATTCTTTTTTTTCACTCTCCCTTCCCACTCACAGCCAAAAAGGTTTTTTTTTTTTTCCACTGTCACTTTAGGAAGGAGAGTAGAACAAAGAAAAAACTTTCCCCTTTAGAATATTCGCAGCTTAAAACTCTCACAGGGAACAATATATACTTAGCAGCCTTCAAGATTCCAGGTCATTTTCTCCCGTCTTGTCCCGGTTAGAATCAACTTTCACTTTTCTTTCAGCTTCCTCCCTCCTGCACCTGCTTGTCCGGCTGCAGCTTTCTTCGTGGCGGCCATTGCTGACCGCTGTTCCTCCGCCTTGGGAAAAGGGGGTTTAGCCGGCTGGGGAGGGGGTTTGCGACACCCCCAAACCCCTTGCCGGATCCCCCCTGTCTTCAGCTGCCTCTGCAGGGCAACAATATCCCCCAGATCCAAATGTATCGGGGGAACCTTGGCGGTGAACACAGCAGGGATCGCGCGGTCACGAATCCCTGCCGCCGCCGAAAGGTTGCAAACCGGAAGTCCCCAAAAGCATACACTCGTTCTTAAACTTCTGTTATGCACCACTGTGTTCGTGACAGGAAGTGCAAAATACAAAATAGTGATTGATGGATTGATTATATGCCATCAACTCTGGTTTCCATATCTGAGATTCACTGTATCTCTTCTAGCTCTTCCTCCCACCACCAAACCTCCAGTGGCAACTGAATGTTTTACGGTCAACTGCACTGCAACCAATTTGATCTATAGGCCACAGATGGCTGATCCCACATCAAAGGTTTTCAGCTCAACACAACGATTCTTCGTTAATTTGGTAAGAAGATCAATGCATACTTAGTCCAATAGCTCTCAATTTAGGACTTTCATAATATACTCAGCAATAGTATTTTATTATTGCCAATAAATACATAGTTTTTTCATTAAACCAAGACAAGTTCTTTTATGTAAATTGCTGAGGAGGCAAATGCATACTTACCCTATTAGCTCTTAACATAAGATTTTCATAAAATAATCAGAAATTGTGTTTTACCACCAGCAATAAATACATCATTTTTCCTTTACACCTAGCTGGGACAGATATTGAAGACCAGCAAGATTGGTCCATATTTGATCAGCTGTAGTTTATCAACATTAAGGTAGGTAATATGGAATGGAGATTTTTTTAATGATACCTAAATGCCCCGTTATGGGGGTGAAAGGATATGGACATCTCGCAACATCTAGTTATATTTGAGACAACTCATAGTTTGTTTCAGTTCCAGGCTGTAACATATCACATTGAAATAGAAATCTCTAAAAGTCTCTTCGTGCATTTTTATCCCAAATCATTTCTTTGCTTCAATATTGAGTTCCAATCACTGTACTGGAAGCTCCCTGGTTAGCTTCCTTATGGCTTCCCAAAATTAGGTTTGAAGTGGAATTTAAAATTTAGTAACACCAGATTAAAAATATTGACTGAAAAACTCCAAAAAGGTGATAGAACTATGCCCCTGTAATGCAGGGAGCCGTTCAAGAATAAGATCAGCTAGGAAATACCCAGCGGGGATCCTGAATAGTTGAACCAGGGGGAAGAAAAATGTGAGGTGGCACGCTCATAGAACAAACCAGTGTCAACAAAATGGTCAAGGTTGCAATCATTCAGCAGACCTGTATTAATTCTGAACTGGATGCCCTTACCGTTTACTTTTTGGCCTGCCAGGTAGATCCAAGTGCAACATTACCTATGTGAAACCATCCAAAGTCTTCTACAGCTTCTCTGAATATATCTCAAGATGTGTCTTTTCATTCCCAGATCTGTGAATCAGGGTGAGAACACCGGCATAGACAGTGTCTGCTGCTACCGTAAAAATGCCACAGCTCCACCTTTTGATCGAGTG